CATTGCATTACGTGTAGTAATGCCCCAACATGAATGTTAGTCACCTGAGGTGCATTTTTTCTGCACAGCCCTACTATAGTGAGCACTTAAACCCAACCCTTAGCTCATCAAAATCAGGGTAAAGCTATACTTTCCTCAGTATGAAATTCTTAGATAAATCATACAATGTAATGAGAGTTACATGAGTTTATGTTTATAAGTAGATGTAATAAAACCCAAATGCATTTTCCTATTTCTAGGTCAAGAACAAGAAAATCTATCCTAAATTATGAAGGTATAGTATATTTTAATTTCAATTTTTCCTGCATGTGCAATGTAGTTATTTTTGTGGTGCAGTACATGAAAAATGCAGTAATGACCTCTACATGTATCATGTATGTGGCTTTGGGCACCACAAGAGCTCGCAACAGTTCAGATAGCTTATTTATTTGAAGTAATTAGCAATTATTGGAAGAGACTGAGTATGATGTGAAGAATTACAGTGTTTACATGTAGAGGAGAATGTTAATAATCCACCAAGGCCAAAGGCCCGAGTTGGAAGAATTGGCTGGGGGATTGGAGCCAATCAGAAATGGTGGAATAATTTTAATGAATAATATTAAATTCTGTTCAATGTATATGATCTGTACATCATAATAAATATGGAATGTATTATTTCATTGCAGAGGTCTAGTAAAAGAAAGTTCAGAAGAACACTGCAAGGTGAAGTCTTTACTCAGTCTTATTCTATTGCTTTTTATAGTAAAAGTAGACAACAGGTCCCTTCTGTCTAGGTTAGCTATAGAGGGCCATAATAAATAGAATTTTAATTTTAAATTCTTAACTTGTTCACAGTTTTAGTTATGGTAGACCTTGTTACAAATCTTAACAGCATTATATTGGTCATATTCACCACAGCTAATATCACATGACCCTAAATTTACACATTAGTGTTCAGTGAGTCCGTTAATTATTTATGTAAAGGCATTTCATTGAAATTTATATAGTCCATAAATAGCAACTTACATGTATAGGTGTGCTTATGTAAGAGGACACTCCCTTATTTGGCCTAAACTGGCACCTGTCAACAAAGTAAATGTGGTGTTTTCCACTGGTTGAGGAACAAAAGAAGTGAAAAACATTTTTCTCACACACATTTGGGATTCTCTGTGCTAGTGTGTGGGAGGTTTCAATAGTCATATGTGTGTTTGTAATGTACCAATGTTCTTGTAGCAGGTTATTTTTACATTTAGGGTCATTTACTGCCTCTTTCATTGTTGTGAGCCTTTGTTGGCCAGGAGTTTTCATTATGGCAGCTGTCCAGTGTTTAGTTTGTAATTAATATTTTTTGTTGTGGCATGATATTTAGGGAGCTTTTACCCTGTTTTTGCCCCGTTGCACTAGTTTGACGTTTAGTAATATTAAGGTCTGATGGCATGGTTTGGCTTGACTTGGCTCCCAGTTGTGTGTGAGAAGTATGGTTTGCTGGGACCTTGGGTCTCGAACATGGCGATAATGATAATGGTAATGATAATGATAAATACCTTTATTACTTTCCAAGTCTGTTTTTTCGAAGTAATTACATCAATATCATTTAATAAAAATATGTAAAGATCTAAAACATTAAAAAATAAAACAAAATAATTCACAATATTTGTAACATAATAATTATACTAAAATATATTCCACTATTTGGTAGCTCGAATAGGTTGCCTTTCCTAGACTGGAAGACGTAAATTTTTTTTAAACTTAGCATGGTGTGAATTTTTGTGGTGCAAAGTATGCATGGGAAGTGCCTACAATTTCTCAAAATATTGTAATATTGAAATTAAATGATTCAGGGTCTCAAAAACATTCTGTCTGAAATGGGGGGTGAAATGGAGAGATTGTCTGGCCCTGGAGACCCACCGTATCCAAACTTCTCTTAAGTGCCACTCCCCCCGCACCTTCACGGATGCATTCTTCATGTTGTAAAATATCCAAATGATTACTATTGTAGGTTTTCCTGATATGTTAAGTGTGGAAGTTTGTACTCTACATGTAATACACTGTAACATAATTTTACGTGTACCCAAGCAAATTATGAGTAAGTCCATCAGACAACGGAATTTTTGTTTTCCTTTCCACTGCTTTATTGGCTTGAAAACTGATATGTAGGTAATTATGTCGGAGGATGCTGCTAGAAAAAAAATTCAATAAGTATGAGTTTTAGAGCTATGTTCTCTTACCACAAAAGTAATCGGCTTTCACCCTCCACTTTTGAAATTGTTATACCTCAACATTCCTTTTATTTAAAGAAAGTTCCAGTGTTTTTGCATTAGTGCTTATCTAACTTTTGCCTGTGCATACCAGAAGCGGTATCTGTCATCTGAAGAGGAAGGATTAGGTGTAAGGAATGTGCTATGTCAGCAAAATATTAATAGTTTATGGCTTTTTATCAAGTATTTTATACAGTTAAGTTATAAAATTTGCATTCCACCGTGGGAAAATACCAGTGCATTGAAGTAGAAACATTGTCCCACACAAACGTGTCACATAATACAGCCTCAACTTCTTTTTGCAGTAAGAAATAAGAATCCTCTTGAATAGTTGCAGCAGGCAAGTGTAAGCGGAGGATCATTTTTTCTGAGACTGGAATTTGCAAACATAACAAAAATCAAATTCTTGGCAGTGCTTATTTTGTCCCCTGATATGTGGCCAAGTAAATAGATCCTTTGTTTCCCTGGGGACCTTTTGTTATTGATTCTATAACTTGTTAATTTTCACAAGAGGATAAAGACAGCTATTATTCTAATTTTATGTGGGCATGAGTGAGCAAGCGTTAACAATATTGATTTGTGTAATGCAATATCCAGGAGAGTATATATACGCCTAGAATTAATACAGTGCAGCAGATTTCATGTAGAAATATTCCAGGCTGGACAAGAGCATGCTTAAGAGTGTTTATCAGAAGCATTTATCAACTGGATTTTTCTAAGTGAAAAGATTGGGATTTGAGTCATGAAAGGTCAACAGGATCACCCCTTCCTGAAATAGAGATTATCTGTAAATATCTGTGGGCTTCAAGCAGTTTTTACTAGGGCAGCACATTTTTCAACTGGACTTGCGTTCTAAAGGATTCAGCAGTGTTTTCAATGGGATACATTTATCAAGCTTTTTAAACATTTTACAAGATTCATCATGAATAGTACTGGTAACACGTGTTTTCTTTCTTATGCATATCACAAATACCTTAACATTGTATGTTACACTTTGCCTATTTTACCAAGAATTTTACAGTTGTTAGTAATTCCTGTTTCCTCAGCAATTTCTTTATTTGTGTGCAGCAAACTTTACACACTGTACATCGTTGTTTTGTACACATAGTGTTTGGATTGTGATAATTTTTTGTTTCATGCTCTTTGCAACCTTTACAGAAACAATGATAAAAAATGGTGGTATTTATTAGAAGGAGTATTTCTGGAATAATTTTCGATGTTTAGCTACCGCATGCTTGCTTGCGGACAGTGCCACCCTTAACTATGATGTGGTTAAATGTCTTTATATGCATGTACATGTAGCAAACCTGCTTCAATATTATTTACGCAAAATAAACTATATGATACTGTAGGTTTTTAGAAGAGTAGTTTTCACTTGCAGTTAATGAAGTTGTTCCTTGGCTTATCAGCTCCACCAGAACATTTTATGATTTTCAATATGGTCATGCCTAGACTCGAGTACTTTTCAAAAGAAAGTTTGGAAAGCACTGTCTTTTCTGTTTGAACAGTTTATGGGTATTTACACTAGGGTTTAGGCCCAAGTTCTCTGCAGTAGCCGTTATCGGAAGATACATTCAGTTATTCTGTATAAATTAATTAATTTTATTTTACATGTAGTAATTAGGAGTGATTTTACTTAACCTGTGAAATAGGTAGTAGAATACTACCCACTATTATGTACTAATTTTATGTTGTCTTCTTTTGTTTATTTGCGGCTATTTTACACTAGTTGTAATTATTAATTGTTTCACGGGTCAAGTAAAATTGCCCTAAATAATAATTCATTCTCTTTAGTATTATATAGCAATCATATCTCACTGTTATTTGTGCTGTGGGTTAGCCTGGTTGGGAAATTGAGTGATTCAGGTTCCATTTAGGGTCATTATACTGATTTAGTGTAATATGTCTCATTGAGACTGAGGGCAAACCCTAAAGAAACTGTTACTTTAAATGTTTGAACAAATGTCCCAACTCTTTCAGCTCTCCTTCTTTTCTTGTATTTTTCTCATATTTTAAATTTTAAATTCACCCTTCTTTTAAAATGTGTTGTTCAATTTCTGCTTCTTTTTGTAACTATACTGTGCACTTGGTGCATTTTATATTTCTTAAGTTAACCAACAAGAACATCCCATCTGTTCAAATTTTAATTAGAACATTTTATTGTAAAGAAAGGCCAAGAAAGCCTTGTTTTTTTGGGGGGGGGAGTGTGGGAAGGGGGCAGCTTTCTTGCCATTTTCCTGTGAAAATAGGAGCTTTGGCTGGGCGAAAGCTTTTATTATTATTATTATCATTATTATTATTGTAGCATCGCAAGGTGGTGAAATACTTGTAAATTTTACAAAAAATAAGGAAAGACTTCAGGAGACGATACACTTTGGACATCAGTACTCTGAGGATTGTTTGAATAGCACAGTTGAAGAAAGGGTTGAAGCAATCAGTAATATCAGCTGTCAGACAATTTGGGTTTAGTCCAAAGTTTTATCATAACAATTCTTCCTTCAGGACCTTGTAAAATGCTATTTCCTATAGTAGCACTAAAGGATTCACTAGTTTACCTAGTGTGGGAAAACTATAACCTATCTTAACCTTCCTCGAAATTTTCTTGTCAGGAAAAAAATCTTCTGGAAAAGAGACTTGTTAGTATATGTTTTTCAGCACTAATGTAGAAACTTACAAGGAGCTCTTGTAAATATTCCCAGATTTTGTGGTTTTCAATGCATTTAACTCGTTGCTGGTGGTAATCTTCTATTCTATTCTGTTTTCTCTTCAGAATCATTTTGCACTGATATAAATGGAAACAATATCAAAAATGGAGCTTCTTTTGTGCCAGAGCCAAAGCAGGACAATTTTTGTCTGCATTGCACCTGTAGTTTTGGCCAGGCCAAAGATTGTATTAAAGCAGAATGTGCGATTCCAACATGCAAGAATTACAAACCTGTTCCTGGGAAATGCTGTTCCTATACATGTCCTTCAGGTAAAGAGAAATACTAAATGTAGAGATCAAACTATACTGTATCCAGGGTCACTTTTTTGAAATGCATCAGTTAACTATTTTCCTGTAATCCAATTGGTCAACTTTTTCTAGGTGACCCTTGTTACAGTAGTGGTACTATTAAACTTAGATTGAGTCGATTTTTATTTTTGCTTGCACAAACCTTGTGATTCTGACGCTAGGGACATCTCATACATCATCATCCTATTATTTTTTAAATATGCTGTGGGACAAAATTGTGGCTTGTTCCACTCACTTGAGAGCTTCTTTTTTGTGGTGAAAGTTGTGAGGACAGCTTCTGTCCAGTCTATGCTGTATGTTACATTGTGCTTGGAATCTTTAATAATCTTCCTAATTTATAAGTCACAATTCGTAATCGTAAGACAACCTTTAATTAAATGATAAAAAATAGGGCAACTGAAAATATGTCATGACATCCTTGTTAATTTGAGTTGTGAAGTGCATTCGAAAATTTCTACTTTTCTTTTTGAACAGGTGCAAATTCAGAGGCCGCTGAGTTAGCGATTATCATCAGTTTATCCGTGGGACTCTTACTACTGCTTATCCTCCTCATAGTTGTCATTGATAGAAATCGGAAGAAAAATCAAAGAAATCAGACAAGAAATGAAGTGCTGGAACAGTCACAAAACTTAAGGCCAAGTAAGTGTGGTACTAGTCAATATTCTGAAAGGTGCAAAGAAAGTCAGTTTTACATCTTGCCTTTCAGTCAAGTTGAAGCTAGCATGTACCGGCCCAAAAATAATGTCAACTAACTCCAAAAAAAAACTTTTGATGAACAGAATTGATTACAGTTCTTCCGTAATTTCAATTCCCAAAAAACGTCACTTGCTCGTTGATTAGCCGATAGCAAAATCCATCAGCCGCTGGCCATTGGACACTGCTTTCTTTGCACGCTGTTTGCAGTTTAAGACAAGGCACAGTACCAGGTTAAATGAAGATCTGTTGCTGTGTAATAGAAGTGGGGTATGACACCTCAGAGTAAGCAGAGAAAAAATAATGCTCAGGGTGCAAAGGAAGTCATTTTTACAGCTTGCCATTTGTGCAAGCTGAAGCTAACATTTACTAGCCCAAACATCATTTCAACTAGCCCCAAAAACGTTTTGATGAGCACATTGTTTTTCACAGTTCTTCTGTAATTTGAATTCCTCAAAAAACTTCATTTGCCTGTCGAGCAAGTTAATAACAGAATTCACTATCCCGATAGCAAAATCCACTGGCCCCCAGGCTATCAGACACTACTTTCTTTGCACACTGGTGCTTTATTGCATCTTCTTGGCAGTTAACATGCACACAGCACTGCATCATGTTTTGAATTGTTCTTAATTTTTAGATCTCGTCTATTACTAACCACACTTGTTTCAATTCACTCTTGAAATGTTTTTGTTTTAGTGCAGAAAAAAACAAAATCAAATTTAATATGGGAACATATGGGTTGGCTGTTGGGGGTTGGTTTAGTTGTGTTACTTTTGAGGTCATCAAACCTTCAAATCCCAGCTCTGTATGTCAACATATAATTACAAACATCCCACAAATTTTCATTTGCTTGTACATAACAAGTTGAGATGGAAGACAATGTATTATTTACATGAACTGTAATTTGTCTTTTCACCCAACCTGAAAATAACCTTTTCACAAAATCTCTTTACCTACAGGACCTCTTAATAACAGACTTGCTGGTATCATAGAAGAGAATAATGAAAGAATTGAGCCTCCTCCACCCTATACCCCTGGGAGAGGGAGATACAGTTTTAGAAAACCCCAGTATGCAGCTCCTCCATTCACACCAAATGAGCCGCCACCACCGTATGAAATAAACTGCAGACATGCTACAGATGTATAGCAGAGACTGAGTAATAACTACCTCAGTCTGTTATTGTGGGTGTGGCATGCCAGCGCTAGTCCACCTTTACTCCATGGAAGGTCACTGCGGTGTGAGAAGAGAACTGAACATACTCTGGTCTGGCTCTGGTCGTCAAAACCTTTCCAAAGGATGAAGTTGAGTTCATTGTTTACACTCGAAAGTCATTAATGTGATGTTACGTTTTGTCACGTTCAGTTCTGTTTGAGCTGAGGGATCAAGAAAACACTAGAGTTGAAGACGTAAAGAGAAGATACATGTATGAAAAAGAGACTGGTAGAAGTTCGGCTGGTTCCTGGGGATTTAAACGGAAGTACAAAACAATGAAGCCTGCAACACAGGACTTTCAGCAGTGAATGGCAGGGATGAATATGACCTGTAGGTTTACGGTCGACTCATTACCAGAAGATCTAGCCACCAACCAACTCGCCACCAACTGTGTAGTCTATACTGGGAGCAAGTCAAGTACCCCGGATGTAACAATTCAATGGTCGATAGGTGTTACCGTCTGAGATCTCCTCGTATCCTAGATGAAAAGACTGTGTCCTGGTGACGAGTCTACTTCTTGGTGGCTATTTGATAGGTGGCGAGGTGACCGGATACCGACTCTGAGGTTGCCATTCCTCTTCAAAAACTTCTGTCCAATAAAAAGAGCTGATCTGTCCTTTGCCAAGGGCATGATCTTCAAGAAAAAGGTTTACAGCTGATTATGTGGAAGTTAACTGAACATTGAGTGTTGGATCATTTGTCAAGGCCTGAACTCTTGTACAATAATCAAGAAATGTCTTTCTAAGAAAGAAACAAGAACCTATGGAGGATAATGATGAAACAGTCCTCAAGAAATTTGTAGATATGTAATTCTTTTTATATTACTGTTTTGTTTCGTTACATTTGAAACAGCCAGGGAGTTGTATATGTTAGGATCCTACATGTTTTATTTCAAACAGTTTACTATGTGACTTGCTTGCTGCCTTAAGGTTAAAACTCCTCGATATCCTCTCCCCCCCCCCTCTTATCAGTTATCCTCGCAGGTATTTAAAGTGGCAACATGAGAAAGTAAAAATAATTGCTTACTAGACTAGAGATGCATGTAGCCTTAATTGCTGGTTTGCAGCCAACGTCACGACAGCCATGCTGGTGGACAGGAACAAAAAGTGTCCCCCCGCCTCCTTGGCTACACTGGAACTAAACTCTTTTTCGTTCATATCTCCCGAAAAAGGTTGTTGTTTTGTACACCACCATGGCCGTCATGTGTGTTGGTTGCCTCCGCACAAGGGACTATTTAAGGCGCAAATAGGAAAAATTGTTTGTGGTCCTATCCTTTACTTTTTGAGTGAATGTTAATGGTTCTCGTCACTTTTATGTTATTTTTGGGCCACACTAAGAATTCTGTAAATAATTGTATCTTGGATAATTTTTTTTACCGATGAGAATTAGATGTCCTCGTTAGGAAGCGAATGGCTGTGGCCAAGTGGCTCGTATTTAAACTTACTTTAGTAGGTAAAGAATTATGCAACACAAAAAAATGCTATTTAGGATAATAAAATTAAGTTGCACTCTGAGCGATGGTTTTGTTTTGTCATTCTCGGCAGTGGCGACTAACCTGTAGGTTGCGCACGCAATCCATGATTTCCAAGAACAATGTCAAACTGTTCCGTGTGATGCTGTGTTTGCCCTTATTTTCTTCAAAACAATGTACAAAGATTCGGGTTTTGTGGTATCCCGAATAATCAAGGTCTTGGTGAGTGTTATCAGCCTCGGCCTTCGGCTAAGCTGATAACAATTTCCTCGACCTTGATTATTCCGGATATCTAAAAAAAACCTCAGACAATAATTGTTTAAAGGAAGTTTGTCGACCCGCAAGAGGTCTTCAGCCAAATTTTTTGGCAGATATATATTTTTTTACCACGGGTAAAAAAATTCTATCCGTCAAAATTCCATCTGAAGTGAGTATTTGGATACAAGCAAGTAGCTCGCCCACTTGTAAAACAAACCAACTTCTATTGTAATCCTTTTCGGTGTCTGAACTGGGCCTAAAACAGTCAAATCCCTTCCCTGGTAAGTTATCACCCAAACTGTGAAGACTTGCGGGAGGTAGTTGCTTAAGAGAATCGAGCCACACGAGTCTCTTGCAAGTGAAAAGAGGTCTTAGTGCCACATCTACTCTCTGGAAGAGAATTTATAGCATGCAGTTTGAAAGTTTTGATATATGTATTTCCATTTTGTCCTTAAGTGCTCTTCGTATATTTGAGTAGCATAGTACATAAAACGAACATTTGAGATTAGAAACATGTGTCAAGCGGTCGCTTTAATACAAGAAGTTAAAAACAATGGGAAATTGTAAAATTTAAATCATCATCTCAGAAAGTGGTCTCGGTCGCTTACAAGACTGAGAGGGTCGTTTACGAGAAGTTCCACCCATGGGGGTTTGGCTGGAATATATTGGCGTTTCTGATCTGTGGTCGGTTATTGGCTGAGGTAGTTGGTTAAAAAAGGCGGTCGCATATTTTTCCAGTAGCGGAACCTCTCGTAAGCTACCGTGACCACTTATGGGCGGGGTTAAGGTTTTCTATGTTTTCAGTAGTTTTTAACCTCTTGTAAGCGACCAATTAACACATGGTCTGACCTGTTCGTTCGCTGTATGTACTACGATAGACCTCTTTAGCTCGTATGTTTAGTTTTCGCAATGTAGGCCATGTGATAATGCTCTAGAGAACTGTTTCTCTCAAATTTCGTCTTATTCACCTGTATATGTACGTGTAATTTTTGACAAGACAAAGGGCTAAATTCCCTTGAGACCTTCATTGAGAAAACAAAACAAACAAGCTAAAGAGGTCTACACTCAAAGAAAGCATTGTATCAATGAAGATCTTTTAGTGACAGCATGAAACTACACATATCGTATCTTGAAAATTCAATGCAATAAACTTTCTTGCAAAATGTACATGTGTCCGGACCTCTTCTCGGAAGAGACCCCTGTGGGTTAAGAAACAAATAGTTTCTGATCAAGCAAAGTTTCATGGACAAAAGAAATTGGCTGAGAGCAAGATCTTTATTTGGAAATAGCAATAGGCAAAGAACATGTCAGTAGCTCTCCAGGCATGGAGTAGGATTAAAGAACGAATGAAAGAATAGATGATACAAGAGAAACAATATCTCTGGCCATAAAACAAAAGAAGCTACTGCTTAAAGAGGCCAATGAAAGGTCCAGTCTGGAAGAGCAACTGTGCTACTCTAAGCAAAGAGTCATTGCGTCCTCGCAGGACATCATTCTCTTAGCTGAGAGGTTGAGGGGTCCTAGTACTAGGAAGATCCAAGCACCATGTTATCTGCCTTCGCTAGGAAGATCCTAGCCTTGGGACAAACTGAACAAAAATATCGGCGGTCGTTCAGTGGGTAATCTTTAATGATCTTTAATTCCTTCTCTACTGTTAACCACACGGACCGAAATTTATGCATGTAAGCCCAACGAAAAGTTGTTGCTCCTTCTAGGATCTTCATGGTGCTAGGATCTTCACTCCCTCCATGTAAACAGCCTCTGAGAAACAGGCTACGAATTGCATTCGAGTTCTCTCCATTTTTTCACGTGATTCCATCATGGGAAAGGTTGCAGAACAAACAATCTTGAAAGAGATCCAAAGTTTGCAACTTTTTTGACTAAACTTTTTTTAAAGAGTGTTCAAGCATGAATTTACTTGCCAAATTGGAAATATTTTTGCGCATTCAAGTGCGTGCGAACAGTCAAACAAGAGGTCTGGAGTGAGGCTGAAAAAGGAAAGCGAGACTGGGGGAAAACGCGTGACTCACTCGAGCGTGTAAGACTAACGCTACGCTAAAACGATTCCAACTGGTTTGCAGTCTAAGATGGGAATAGTTCCTATCATCCTCGAATCGAATGTACTGGAGAAGACATTGTCCATACGATAGTTGTCTGCACACCAAAGATATCGGCTGAAATTTTCCCCGCAAGCACGTGTACCATTCTATTTAGCCTCGACTAAAACTACTGAAAGGTTTCTTCGTCCAAAAATAGGTCCGCTTTGCGTACAAATAAATACTCTATAAAAAATGAATAATTTCTATTTTTCGACGCTAGTTTTTTCTTTTCTGTCGTAGAGTTTTTCCTGAACCTTTAAATGCTTCAAATTCCGGTTTATTTGCTTCTCCTTTGTTAATTAACTGCAATAAAGGAAAACAAAGCGAGTTAAGCCCACGTCGACGAAAGAAAAGCAGCAGCTGGTAGCTTAAGGGCAATAGACTCGGCTGGTACTTCATTTCTCGACATAATTCATTAACCAGACTATTAATCCTAAATTTTTTTAGATGTATATGAGCTTGTAGACGAAATCCTCTCCTGCAGTACAAACATTTCGCTTGCGAATCGTCAATACTTTCGCGCGGCACTCAGATTTGAAATGAAAGTTTGGACTTTCTAGGAAAATTGGAAGGGACAATTTTCTTGCTAAAGAAGTAGACTATGATTTAAAACACGTGGTCTTTCAGAGGTTTATCTTTATCACCTGTGAATTGTTGGATTTGTTCAAGTTTCTCTTGAAAGTGATCTTCCCTTTCTCGAAGTTATAGTTAGGAATCCCTCTAAAGAAAGGAACGAAAAAGAAAAAAGACAACAAAAACAATTATTATGCCATCATGAAATTAAAAAGTAATAACAGAAATAAACAATCAGTGATCTGCAGTTACAATGTATGCATTTTATAAAATTTTACTACAAGCCAACTCTGCAGTACGATCTGCAGCTAATAACTATGCAGGTTATCACTTCTATGTTTTTCAATTGCCAGATTTCAAAGCGCGGTGGACTAAAACCAATCTCGACGACAATTGATTTCTAGAGCTAATTCTTGCCAAAAAGTTTCAAATTAAAAAATGGCTACCTCTTTAATAGTGCTTACTGCCTCCGTTTTCGTCATGTTTCGTATAAACATTTTAACGCATTGCCAAGTAAAAAGTTAACAGTTAATGAAAGAAAAAATAGTCGCTTAACAAAAGCATACCGTTTGATGACAGGAGGCCCCATAGGGACTGGATCTGAGGGTACATTTGACTTTTTCTTTTTCCCATCCAAGCGAAACCCTGAGCCAGTAAAAGCCTGCCATAATGGAGAAAAATATTTCTGTGTTAGATTTGTCAACGACATAACAAATTTAAGTTTTAATTTGCTAGCCTGTTTCTTGGAAAACACAGAAAGTAATTTTCACTTTTCTTTTCTATTCGGCTTTAGAGGCATTAGAAAGTTAGTTGTTTTAATCTGAGCCTATACTGTATATTCAGGTAAATGTTACAGAGCAACTACATTTCTAGAGTTCATTCCATTTATTGTAATAACGGAAGTACCGGTTTGACCTCCTCTATAATTTAATGATGATGATGAAGATGGCGTAGGAACCACTAAAGAAAAAGGCTGTTGAGAGTAAATGTACATTACCTCGAAACCACGATCCACAATTCCTTGTTGTACATCAGTGTGCTAGAATTCAAAAGGAAAAAAGATATAACTATCTATGGAAGAGCTTTTGTAATTAAGGTAATCATCCATGAACTAATCAGTTCATTACCAATTGACTGACAGATTTACTGATTGGCTGGTTTACTATTCAATTCAATCATCGATCACCGTAAACAGCCGCTTTTAAGCCTTGAGCTTATACATTTTCGTAAAGGGTTTTAGGAGGGCTTATAAATAGAGGGGCTTATATCCGAGTGCATCGAAACAGGGTATGGGAGTGCGGATCAAAATACGTTTTGCATTAACTGGTTTTTAATCAAACTTCAAAACGTCACAATAAATCGAATTTATTTCAATGCGTTTGGACGGGATTATCCGAGGGAGCTTATAACTGGAAGTATTTTTTTGTTGTTTATCAGTAGATGGGTATATAAGTGGGGGGGGGGGGGGTTATATCCGGGGAGCTTATAATCGGAGGTATTTTTTTGTTGTTTATCAGTAGATGGGTATATAAGTGGGGGAACTTAATCGGGAGGTTATTTTTTTTTTGTTGTTTATCGGTAGATGGGTATATTAGTGGTAGGGGGGACTTATATCCGGGGGAGCTTATAATCGGAGGTATATTTTGTTGTTTATTGGTAGATGGGTATATAAGTGGGAAGGGGGGGTCTTATATGCGGTAGTTTTTGGTATGTTTGATGGATCAATTATCTGAAATATACCTCTTCTTCTTTCTTTTTTTCCTTTTTCACTTGTCTCTCTGGTTCCACATATCCCACAGGAGGAGCAAATTCAACCTAAGGAGAATTGAGACAGCTAATTACTTGGAAAAACAGGGCAGACTGGCCAGACCCTCAAACCTCTCAGACTGAACAGCGTTTAATTGTCCAAACAAGTTAGTGATGACTCTGACCCTCTGTATAACATACCATTTGAGTGCTACTGATCAATGTCTTGTGGAAATCATATCGGCATTCTTTGCATGTGGTATCAAAAAATTGAGTTAACAATTGAAAACAGTTGATTTGTTGAAAAATGAGCTTATCTGATACCAGTGGTATGAAATTTACCCCTGAACTATGTGTCAATATTTTGCAGCTTCAAGTGACTTACATCGTAAACTATGCTTTTTACAAAAGAACGCCTGAAATGGTAGGGTTGGTCAATTAATATATCAGAGATGAGGGAGTTCGCAATTTTATGACTTTAATGGCAGATCTATACAAGATAATAAGGTGGGCTAAATTTCAAAGGAATCCATCAAATATTCATAAAATTACAGCACTATGTATGCCACCTGGCGCTCTCAGGATTAATGATATGGATTTCATATTAAATGGACCACACGTTAAATATAACAGCTCTTCACTGCGAAAAACCGAAAAAAGCAAATTCAAGGAAAACACTGAATTTCAAATAAAGAAAACAAAAAAAATCTGCAAGTTTACTGCTACAGTGGGTTTCATTTGATTGTGCACACAACACCATTTTGTCCACCAACTCAGAGGTTGAAGTGCATTACAGGTCTTCGCATCTTACCTCTTAAAGTTGTCTGTAAGATTTGAAATAATTTTCTACTGGAACAAACAAGGCTTAACGCACCACACCAAAAAAAAACCCTCTGAAAACAAGATTAGTACCTGCATATCGCACTCTATGATTGATACTGCATTCCCAGGTTTTGTCTCCAGAACAAGCAACTCATAGATCTGCACACAAACAAACAGACAAGAAAAATACGGAAAAATCCAAATAGTTTCATGGACATTTCTCTCAAATTCTAAGGACTGTGCATGACTAGTCCATAAGGAGAAGATTGCGTGAATTTTCATATTCATAGAGCTACTCATGCCAAAAAGGTTGAAGGGTAGAGACCAGACTAAGTGTGGACCCCTGGTCCTCCAGGTTTTGGGTTGGGCTGAGGGCTAAGGGCTAATAACTCTCTCTTATAAAACCGTGTTATAACAGAAACCAGAAGAAGAGGAAATTTACTTAATCAACGGAACACTGTGGCCGGTCAGCAGCTACCCAAGAAAATTGGAAACACTCTGAGGAGGCCTTATCAGGGGCACCCAACGAGAATATAGTTCAAAACCACTTAAACATAGCATTGTTAAACGTATTTTAGTATTTAAACGGTAGACAAAGGCATATTTTTATCCTCTAAAAACTTTTCATCTGTTCGGATTTCCTAGCTGAAAGTCTAGTGATCCGAAAATTATAGGGATCAAAACTCGCCTTTTCGAAAATTTCAGCCAGAAAAAAGGCTCCCGAAAATTGTAGGTGACCTTTTTAGGGTAAAAATCCGTTAAAAATAGGTAATTATACCATTTTTCAGATGTTCGAAAATCCTAGGAGAGGCAGGCAAGCAAGAAATTTTACAACAAATGTTCCGAAAATTCTAGATCTCGAATCGTCTTCCGAACAGATATTTTTCCGAAAATTGTCGTTGGGTGCCCCTGCCTTATGTGCCTCAAGGAACAAAAAGGATATTTGAAGGTGGCAAGAGACAAACAGATGAGATCTCCTATCATCTTTTTTAACTCACTTTTTCATTGTACTTGATTGCAATGACATCTCCTTTTGTTAAACAGGCAAAAGACCGGAGTGCATTCTCTAAACTAAGTATGAATTTATTAAGGGAAGTAAGCAAAAAAGGACATGAAAGAAAGAGACCAATACTCAGAACTGCTACAATGTATACAAAGATAAGCCAAAAACATGTAAAAAAGAGTGATTTCACTAATTCTGCCACGCTAGGAACTTGTGTTATACATGTAAAGAACTGGCAATAAAAATGCATAACACAATAAAACCAACTTTTTTTCATGTTTCACTGTCTGTTAAGTTTCAACTGATATTGTTAATCTCATCACTTAACATCTGCCAGCTGAGGATTTGAATACTTGAAATTTCTTAAGAAAATTAAGTTCTGACCTAAAAGTACCACACTCCTGTCTCCCTCTAACAATGGGAATGGGGAGAGGGTGTTCTGGCATACTTTACCCTGTAAGAGAATGAGCTGCCCACCAAGCTACATTTATCAGACCCTCATTAGTTAAAAGGAAAGCATTTTTGACATGACAGGTTCCAATACTCATTCACTTCAGCTAAGAGAAAAAGAGGAAAAGATTTGCACTTTAAAGGATACACTGCCTTTGGGTTTGTTATATCCAGAAAGTCAACTGACTGAGGCTGAAACTTAGCATATGATGCCACTGGTAATGAAGCACTCTCCACCTGAAGAAGGCCACCTTCTTCAAGCAACAGATTGCGCATCATCTGTAATACGTAAACGCAAATGACAGTTAAGTTGTGTAGAATTTGTCTCATAATACAGTCAAACCAGTACAGTCAGACTGCAGCCACTATTTGAGGCTGACGGTTTAATGATGTTCCATTGTTTTAAACCTCTTTTTGACAAGCACTTCATGCACTGTCTGATCTCTGTGTGTGTGTGTAAAATGCTACTTAGATTATACGAAGAACTTTAGTAACAACATGGAACTACACTGTAACTTAGAAATAACATGCCATAAATCATCTTTCATAAAGTAGATGTGTCTGGACATCTCAGATTAGATGCCCTGTGGTTTTATTCTTGAAAGTTACTACCACCTGTAAGCGACCACTAAGTCTTTGCATTTTGGGTGGGCACTTACAGGAGATTTGACTATAATAATAGCAGAAAATAATTATTATAGTCTGCTTATCTATTCCATGCGATGCTCATCACCAGTAACCAAAGAATGAAATAAACTGCAAAACCAGGGTGTTCATTGGGCATCAGCGGTTGGAGAATTCTCTGTTTACTATGCATAATTCTCTGGCAAACGTTCAGTAGCCTATGACTGTTTTATATTCAGATGTGGAGCCTCTTTTAAAATATTCTCCTGTAACATTACACCTTTCTCCTACCACTAGAATTCTTAATAAAACCCTCCAGAACCACACATGAACTATAATATCATTAAGACTGAGCTTTAAAGCCTCCAACATTATCACAATAAATAAATTAAGTCTTAACATTATTATTTAGCCTGCATTTTTGGCTGATGCCATCATTGGTTACCTCAAGATCACATCACATCTTCATGTAACAATAAAACTGTTTCAACAAAATATCTTTGAGTGGGCAACACTGCTAGTCTGACATTTCAGTCTACAACACTGCAAAACCTATGATGTCAGAGGGTAACAGTGTACTGTTACCCAAGAATATTGACACCTCGCCATGATTTACCATCATAAATTTATGTTACAGAGGATTTTCATGATAACCTATACAACAAATCACTTATGACTGGCCCCTTGAGAAACTACAATCCCGAACAAAAAAAGTTGGGAAGGTTGTACAAATAAATTATAAATTATTTATCAGTACCTCATTATAACTTTCAAATAAGTTGGTTTTCCCTTTTGCTAAATACGCCCTTGCTCCCAGGGTTGTCAAAACAATTTTAAGTAGCAGGAAAATAAGAGAAAGTCGTCAGCATGTGTTTCCTGGTGGAGCATATCACTAGGGATATGTGTTTCCCAGGTGGGGGAACACATATCACTAGGGATATGTGTTTCTCAGGTGGGGGAACACATATCACTAGGGATATGTGTTTCCCAGGTGGGGGAACACATATCACTAGGGATATGTGTTTCCCAGGTGGGGGAACACATATCACTAGGGATATGTGTTTCCCAGGTGGGGGAACACATATCACTAGGGATATGTGTTTCCCAGGTGGGGGAACACATATCACTAGGGCTATGTGTTTCCCAGGTAAGGGGAAACATATCACTAGGGATACGTGTTTCCCAGGTGCGGAAACACATATTACTAGGGATATGTGTTTCCCAGGTGGGGGAACACATATCACTAGGGATATGTGTTTCCCAGGTGGGGGAACACATATCACTAGGGATATGTGTTTCCCAGGGGAAACTCATATCACTAGGGATATGTGTTTCCCAGGTGGGGAAACACATATCACTAGGGATATGTGTTTCCCAGGTGGGGGAACACATATCACTAGGGATATGTGTTTCCCAGGTGGGGGAACACATATCACTAGGGATATGTGTTTCCCAGGTGGGGGAACACATATCACTAGGGATATGTGTTTCCCAGGTAGGGGAACACATATCACTAGGGATATGTGTTTCCCAGGTAGGGGAACAAAAATCACTGGGGATATGTGTTTCCCAGGTGGGGGAACACATATCATTAGGGATATGTGTTTCCCAGGTGGGGAACACATATCATTAGGGATATGTGTTTCCCAGGTGGGGAACACATATCACTAGGGATATGTGTTTCCCAGGTGGGGAACACATATCACTAGGGATATGTGTTTCCCAGGTGGGGGAACACATATAACTAGGGATATGTGTTTCCCAGGTGGGGAACACACATATCACTAGGATATGTGTTCCCAGGTGGGGAACACATATCACTAGGGATATGTGTTTCCCAGGTGGGGGAACACATATCACTAGGGATATGTGTTTCCCAGGTGGGGAACATATCACTAGGGATATGTGTTTCCCAGGTGGGGGAACACATTTAACTAGGGATATGTGTTTCCCATGTGGGGGAACACATATCACTAGGAATATGTGTTTCCCAGGTGGGGGAACACATATCACGAGGGATATGGGTTTCCCATGTGGGGGAACACATATCGCTAGGGATATGTGTGTCCCATGTGGGGAAGACATATTACGAGGAATATGTGTGTCCCATGTGGGAGAACACATATCACTAGGGATTTGTGTTTCCCAGGTGAGGGAACACATATCACTAGGGATATGTGTTTCCCATGTGGGGAAACACATATCGCTAGGGATATGTGTCACTAGGGATATATGTTTCCCACTAGGGATATGTGTTTCCCAGGTGGGGGAACACATATCACTAGGGATATGTGTTTCCCAGGTGGGGGAACACATATCACTAGGGATATGTGTTTCCCAGGTGGGGGAACACATATCACTAGGGATATGTGTTTCCCAGGTGGGGGAACACATATCACTAGGGATATGTGTTTCCCAGGTGGGGGAACACATATCACTAGGGATATGTGTTTCCCAGGTGGGGGAACACATATCACTAGGGATATGTGTTTCCCAGGTGGGGGAACACATATCACTAGGGATATGTGTTTCCCAGGTGGGGGAACACATATCACTAGGGATATGTGTTTCCCAGGTGGGGGAACACATATCACTAGGGATATGTGTTTCCCAGGTGGGGGAACACATATCACTAGGGGATGTGTTTTTCCAGGTAGGGGAACACATGTCACTAGGGATATGTTTCCCAGGTTGGGGAACACATATCACTAGGGATATGTGTTTCCCAGGTTGGGGAACACACATCACTAGGGATATGGTAGGGAACACATATCACTATGGATATGTGTTTTCCAGGTAGGAGAACATATATCACTAGGGATATGTGTTTCCCAGGTAGGGAACACATGTCACTAGGGATATGTGTTTCCCAGGTGGGGGAACACATATCACTAGGGATATGTGTTTCCCAGGTGGGGAAACACATATCACTTAATAGGGATATGTGTTTCCCAGGTAGGGGAACATATGTCACTAGGGATATGTGTTTCCCAGGTTGGGGAACACATATCACTAGGGATATGTGTTTCCCAGGGGAAACACATATCACTAGGGTGTTTCCCAGGTGGGGAACATATCACTAGGGATATGTGTTTCCCAGGTGGGGAACACAATATCACTAGGGATATGTGTTTCCCAGGTGGGGAAACACATATCACTAGGGATATGTGTTTTCCCAGGTGGGGAATGCATATCACTAGGGATATGTGTTTTCCAGGTGGGGGAACCCACTAAGGATATGTGGGAGGAACACATATCACTAGGGATATGTGTTTTGGGGGAACACCACTAGGGATATGTGGGGAACACACATCACTAGGGATATGTGTTTCCCAGGTGGGAGAATACATCTCACTAGAGATATGTGTTTCCCAGGTGGGGGAATGCAAATCACTAGGGATATGTGTTTCCCAGGTGGGGGAATGCAAATCACTAGGGATATGTGTTTCCCAGGTGGGGGAACACATATCACTAGGGATATGTGTTTCCCAGGTGGGGGAACACATATCACTAGGAATATGTGTTTCCCAGGTGGGGGAACACATATCACTAGGGATATGTGTTTCCCAGGTGGGGGAACACATATCACTAGGGATATGTGTTTCCCAGGTGGGGGAACACATATCACTAGGGATATGTGTTTCCCAGGTAGGGGAATGCATATCGCTAGGGATATGTGTTTCCCAAGTGGGGGAACACATATCACTAGGAATATGTGTTTCCCAGGTGGGAGAATACATCTCACTAGAGATATGTGTTTCCCAGGTGGGGGAATGCAAATCACTAGGGATATGTGTTTTCCAGGTGGGGGAACACATATCACTAAGGATATGTAGTTCCCAGGTGAGGGAACAGATATCAGTAAGGATATGTGTTTCGCAAGTAAGGGAACACATATCACTAGGGATATGTGTTTCCCAGGTGGGGGAACACATATCACTTGGGATATGTGTTTCCCAGGGTGGGTAACGCATATCACAAGGGATATGTGTTTCCCAGGTGGGGGAACACATATCACTAGGGATATGTGTTTCCCAGGTAGGGAACACATATCACTAGGGATATGTGTTTCCCAGGCAAGGGAACACATATCGGTAGGTATGTGTGTTTCCCAGGTTACAGGCGGCAAAAACATTAAAGTAGCTGGTGATAGCGCCGGTTGCCGGGGTATTTTGACAACCTTTTCTGCCCCTGTATTCAGCCCCTGTATTCAACATTGCGATATAGCAGAATAATTATTACCCATACAAAGACCCAAGTTTGGTTCAACATTGGGCCAGGGCCGAGAGGAACAAGAAAAAACAAGGTTGAAAGTATCACCCTTCCCAACAATTTTGACGACAATTCTAGTATATTTAACTTTTTCCCTTGAATCTCACTTTAATTTCCAAACATCACATAAGAATTATGGGAAAGAATATGAATTGTTTTCCTTGGATCAAGTCATTAATAAGTTTTTATTATTACCCAGTAAGGAATGTATATCTTGCCCTCATCAGCAACAAACTCCAGCACTCCACAGTGAGTGTTTCTTCCTGACCTGGAATTACTGAGTTTGAACAGCATTGGATAAACAATGTGTAACCTTGCTACAAGCCAAAATAACAAAAGAGAGAAAATAAGCATAAAAAGTACAGGAGAAAACTTAAGTGACTGTAACTAAATCCAAGAAAGAAAGGTTAACATTAACCGGCTGCTTCAATGGAAGGTGGGTGCCTGGCCTGAGGGGTGACTCCCACATGAAGGGGGGTATCCTAGAGAATACACTTTTGCTCCCAGCTTTCCTTCTACTCTCTTTATTTCTGAACAAACATGGCCCTAACCAGTAGCCGTATGGATTAAAACATGGCATTTCATCTTGAACACACTCAGTGATGAGACCTTCTGTGCTTTATACCACTAAGTAAAATTGGAGCATTCCTGACCCTTTCACATGAGAGACCACCTCCAGGGGTGCTAGGGTACCATGGGGCTTCCACTAATAGCCCCAGGATAGAATATTACCCCCATGTCTGACATGTCCCTGCACACTCCTGGCCAAAAGGCCTCCCTCTCTCCCCATCCCCTCAAGCTAGCCGCTCATCACACTGCACAGAGGAGAGGAAGAAGAGGATTGGGCAGGCTGAGAAAGGTTTAAAGCTACTGCTGGAAAGAATAAAGAAAAGAAAAATGCTAAAGACTGCTGAAAAAAAAGGAATGCATAACTACTACAAATCACTTATACAAAAACTTGAAAACAATCCTAGCCATGACAAAGCAGAAACATTCCACATAGACTTGTGCTTGTAGGTTTAGCAAGACAATGTTTTGTTGAAACAAAATGAGGATATACTTAGGCAATGCGATTCTATTAATACCAAAATCAACCAAAAATTTTTAAATTCACCCCAAAAGTAATTCAAAATGGCCAACAGTGATCGAGTTACATGTACTACAGAAACAGTGAAAAAAAGATGGTGGTGGATATTGTATATACTACATACATAAAGAAACAAATGATACAGTATTACTTACTTAATTGATCCAAGGCTGAAGGAGGCATTATAACTATGGAATAACACAAAAAGGTCAAGTCAATCGACCGATTTCAAAGTATTCCAGCTACAGTGTATTATAGGTCCTAGTATGTTCAAATCTGCTGCATAAAATATTTAATATCTGGCCAGACAGCTCAATTAATCAACACTAAGAATACATGTACTCTGGTAATATTATTGGAGAAGTAGAAATGGGTCTCCCAACTTCACCAGTTATATCAATTCCCTAGAATAACTAGTCAGTTCACACTAAAGTGTAAGAGTAAGGGCACTCTGCAATGAGGCCCAAATGGGGAAAATGTATGTCCCTAGTATATATTTCAAATACAGTTGTTTCACATTTTGAGGAGTTGGTCATGTTCCTATCAGCATTTAACCCATCCTTATGTTGTTTGTCGCCATTTTATCTAGTCTTATGTTGCTGTTTCATGACCATATTGCCTGTACATAAGAAATTCAACATTTCAATAATGGGCTTAAAATCTAGAAAATTTTGACTAAAAAATGGGTCACAGTAGATGCTCCTCTGATATCATGAGGGGACACTTTTATTTTCAAAATGATCAAAAAGACCAGGCAGATGTGACCTTTAGTAAGCTAGCCTGGTTTTCATATGTTAGGAAAATCCGAGATGATCAGGAATTTTACTGTTTCCCCACTATCCCGCATTTTGATGACAAAATTAATGAAAACCCAAATCATAGATATTGTCGATACTCTGGACAATTTCGAAGAATCGGAGGTATTTCTTATTCCAAACTAGTCTCAGATTTCTGCGAGGGTTGATAATCCTTTGAAAACTCAAATTTGTACTACTGGGGTTGTTAGGGGTCAATGAGCAATTTTTGCTCAGACTTAATCCTCTGCCTGTGGAATGTTCAATTTTTATCCCGCCCCCTGAAGATGATGGGTTTCCAAATAGGGCAATTTGGATTCTTCTGTGGAATGAAATTTTGACCCTTTTGAAAATTTTTCGAAAGGGCAGACAAAGAACCGTTTCCTTTTTTAAAGGGCACCAACAAAAATTTGAGGGTTTGGATTCCAGTCATCCTTAGGGGGGTACGGATAAAAAAATGAACATCCCAGCTTAGCTCTAGTCTCCAATCATAAATCAAAGTGGAGTCAGCTGGGACAGACTCACAGATTTTTTTCTGACATATTAGCAAATTTGGCACGGTAAAAATCAGTGAAAACTCTAACAGGGTTCATAAAAATAATTGCAACCATTTTTTAAGGACTCTCAAGGACTTTTCAAGGACCACACTTGATTTTCAAGGACCACCTACCAAGAATGTAATTTCACAGATTGTACAAAACTAAACAATCCCAGTCCTTTCTAACCACTACCACTACCACGATTAGTCACATGTCATTTTTTTGCCAGAATGTACCTGGCCCAGAATTCGCATGTTTTCTTTCCAGTCATATGCAGGGATTTTTGGCGAGAAAATGGAAGATAGTGCTGCACTAGTTTTAGACCTGATCACATTATTCAGTTACACATAGTATAAAATAGCACTTAATAAGGCCATAATATGAGATATCACCAGTGTTGCAAAATGTACAAATTTGAGTTTCGATTGCAAAACCCTCATTTCATCAAGCTTGTTACTTTTGAAAAGATGATGTAGTCAGTCTAATAAATATAGAGATTCCCAAAACTGCTTTTTTTGTCCTTGGAATTGGAAGTGCCACCTTTGCATTGCAGAAGATTTTATATGAAATAAAGTTCGTTAATGTATGTACAGTGACAAGGAATATTTGTTGTAAATAGACCAATTCATGTTTTTTTTCATCTTTTGACATGGACAAGTTGGGAAAATCCGTCAACATCGCTGAAAAGAGCACCTTAAAATTAGTAAAATTGTCAAGTTTGAACACTGAGCTAGCAATTTCCAGGCTCTGAGATAGTCGGGCCCGCTGAATTGAGAAAGCGCGAACATGAAAATAAAATGGGAGGAAACTGGAAAGAGAAGGGGCGGCCTTTTTCCTGCCCCACTAACTTTTTGCGTGCCTTTTACTCTCGTGTCTTCCTCACTATCTGAAAGCCTGGGCTAACACTGAGCAAGATGCGATGTGCAAACTCTTATTAACTAAAACAAGCGAGAAAAAATTACCTTATTGAATGATTTTGCTCTGTTGTCCCTACTTTCCTAGTATTTTGGAGCAATTGTCGTGGGGTGTCTATTAGACAGGTGATTTGTTGAAAACTAATGAGAACACAGCTCCTCAAAGTCGTGAAATTTCACAGACATTTGTATGGTGGGGGGCACGAACTTCCCCACCACCATACAAATGTCCGTAAATTTTCGCAACTTTGCGGAGCTTATATCTTCACTCGCTAAAGACGTATCACTTTCAAATTTCAGGTGCTCTCTTTAGTGTAGCCTGCGTGCAGACGATAACTAAACTCTGATTAGTACCGTCTGCGAAGCAGTGCAGAGATCCTTGTTCTGGGCCCCCAACGGACTCAACGAATTACCGGAAGTGCGTTTCGAATTCCCCTTCAACCTGATTGGCGATCACGACAAACAAAACAAAGCCTTTTTTAACTGGCCAATCGTGGCGCGTACTCAAATCTGGGTACACAGCTGGAAGTCCAGAACAAGGATTTCGGCGCTGTTTCACAGACGGAGTTAACCAGAGTTTAATTTCGTCTGCGCGCAGGCTATCTTTAGTGGTGTGGACGGATTTTCCCTAACCGGTCCATATAAAAAGTTGAAAAGGCCGTGAAAAGGTCTATTAATATCATCTTAAATCAAAAAAACTTTACCCCCAGGGAAGGGGTATTTGACCTCAGTGTTTTCCCCCTGGATAATGAATTTGAAGTGTAAATGGGTTAAAATGTCAAATTCTCCTGGGTATGCCCGTCCCCCCTACCCTAGGGCTAAACATTGACTGGTATTTTGGTATTTAATTATTCTTTGACAGTGATTCATGTGGCCTTTGAGTTATTATATATTAGGGGTCTGTTTATATACTATAGACTATTGCTGTATTCTTTATTGAACAATGGCAGTGCCTTCTTTAGCTAATTTTAAGCTTATTGGTTAAGACTAAGCTGTCGATCAAGTCCAAGATCATTAACACAAATTATGGTATCAATCGCTGGATTTCAGTCGATTCGCCACCCCGGCCTGGTGACTGCATTATACTTATTAAGTGATACGTTGGTTTGAGGTTCTGTAGCAGCCAAGACTTACTTTTACCACCGCGCTCTACGTCTTCTCGCTCATTCCCAGGGAACATCACCACTGGATAGCAACGAAATTGTGTGTTGAAAGTCCTCGGAGGCATAGCGCCACCAAACATGTCAAATCCTCCAAACTAAGGCGAAAATAGAAATAGCTGAGATCTTTCAAAGAACTATATAAAAAGGAAATAGATCCTGTACCAAAATCGAAAGTAAAGTACCCAATAACCTTACCATTTTGTCAACGAACACGACTCGCAGTGTTGACAAAGTGTTAATTTCCCTTTTTTCATTGATTTTCCCAGTAACCGCGCCTTCAGAAGAGGAAACAAGAAACAATAATCCCCAGGCTTTTTCGGTTTTATGCCTCCCACTGGGGCCACACTTTCTATGGGTTTACCGGCGAACTCACGAGCCGAAAGGTCCTTTAATAAAGCGGAAAATGTTTCAGTTTTCTATGAGTTTACCAGCACAATAAACCATAGGTTTTTCTTAGTTATTTTATAATCCAATATATTAAACCCCTTTCAAACCGAGAGTTGCCCTCCCTAATAACCTGGTCATCAGCCTAGCTATGTTAATCAACTCACAAATACATCTTTAATATCGGATCAAAACATTGTCATATCATCAAACTAGACGTCTTTAGGTGACACTGAAATAGCCACTAAGGAAGTTTCGACAAAGAAACGAGGAGAGACAGCTGATATGCCGCCTAACTCGCCCTTTGCTTGTAACATCCTTGATGGCGTCACTGTTTGCTCCTTACCGATAACCCTAGAGATGGGTAAAGTATACAACTAACTATTGTATTTTCCTTTGTTTTCATTTCTTTAAAAAAAGAAAATGGCATTTCCGAGCCCCTCAATTTAAACATTTTCTGCGGGAGCATGTCACCAGACCCCCATAGTCTGGAGCTCATTCGGCGTTCAAACTTTTCTTCCCCTTCGCACAACTTCAAAATCTAACGCTACGCCCCTGTAAGTTGTACATAACAATGTGGGATGAAAATGTTTGATGGCCGTTAGCCAGGACTTAAGAGCTTTCCCCCGCACGGACAAAGAAAACTGTCTTTAATATCAATCGAGTTGTCAGTATGTATTAACGGTTCTCCGTAAAGTAGGAATTGACTGTATGATTTCGTTTATGAATTAAAATAAATTACCTAGGGCTTCTACTTCAACCTTAAATAAGCCGGCGTTCCCCCGCTCTCTTCAAAACACGCGTCACAGCGGATCAAAAATAGCTCACTGAGTGAAGTGAGTTCATCACGTACTCATCTCTAACATTTAACAATATTGGGACGAGCTCTAAGAATGTGTAGGCACATGCAAAGTAAGAGTGTTTTTTGCCGGTTGTGACAAATATGGAGCATCTTCTCAGTTGTTTTCTCGTATCTAAGGATTAAAAGTCGATGCACTAAATCGAACCAGACACAAGCATACATGGCCAATTTGTGGGTATTATGACGCAAAATATGGCTTTGTCTTCTTAAATCTTCGAAATATTGACTGGATTTGCATTAAAGGCAAAAATCTTTCTCTTTACAACCAATGAGAACTTGCCCTCCTCAATTAAACAGCCATTTACAACATTTCATATTTAGTCATGACTGGATTACACTTACTAAGGAAGAAAAATATTGCGAAATAGCACACTGTTGTAATTGCAGTCACGGTTTGCTTTTAAACGTCTAACTGTCTATAGTTGCCTTTTTAAAGAAATTTTTTTCAAACTTTATTTACTCGAAAATCGTAATTTTCAAGAGTTCCGTTGCAAATCGCAAAATTTTCGACTTATGCATTTCACTTTCTATTCATGTATACATCTGTAGGCGCTTTGGGAAAGTCAATGTACCCACGTCAATATTAATGGACAATCCAAAAATTGTCTGATATCGCTGTGTTCTACGATTGAATTCTGTTTTTTATGACGCATTTTTTCGATATAGAAACGTCTTTAATTTGTTTTTGCTATGTACCTGCGTTGAATCTTTGGTTAATCCAGCACGTTCCAAACTCCACTCTCCACTTCATATTCAAATCAGGAATGATATAAAAAAGACGCGTTAAACCATTTTTAAGACATTCGATGATTCAAACCTGATTTTACCAAGACTTCCGTGTTGTTAGCTTAAAACTGATTTTGGTGGTTTTCACAATATGGCTGGTCCGAAGCATAAGACCTGTCAGACTGTAACATAAAGGAATGGATTAGCTGCAGAGGTTGGTAAAGCAGAGTGATATTTTGAAATGTCTATTGTTAGTCACTAAGCGTTTATAGAGCATTTATAAAAAAAGCTAGACCGACAATATCGAAGAGAATTTCGGAACTGACCGGTAGATTATGTTTCGAGGGACAGTCAGGGTGCAATAGTTAGAAACCATCGGTTTATAACTAACAAAAAAGCGAAGATAATGGCATGGTCGAGAGGTATCAAGAGTATAGATAATCGTCAAAACAACCAGGTGAATTTTTAATCGTCCTTCACATCTTCAAACAAAATAGTATCTGCTGTCCAAATGAATTAGTCATAAGTCCATAAAAATAATGTTTGAATCATGCAAGGACTAATTCATAATGGCTTCCAACAGTGTATTTTAATTTCTAGTTCGGTTTAAGCGGTTTGGTTTGTGACTATGGATTTTCCGTATTATTATTTTCCACACAAGTTTTCCAATGTGCCTTGTGACTTAGTGACGTATTATGACTTTTCATGGATATTGCATCGGAGCATGACGTAGATTGCCCGTGGGAAGGAATTTATTCTTCGCCACTGAACTATAATTGAAAACAATCCGAAACCAATATTTTTAAACGCTTGTTTCGTTAAGCGGGAACTTGTTTATACGAAGTTGGCAGCGAGAATGGCTCTCACGTAACTCTGACTAGACCGGCACAAAAGGTAAGTTTTTCTCCGTACAAGTCAGTTGTTTTCGAATTTATGTTGATTTGATTTTTGAAGGCTGTAGGGAGTAACAAGATAGCGATAAAAAAGTACAGAAGAATATAATATGAAGTAGAGAATCAAATCACTATATTCGCGAAATTTCACACAGGGGCTTGAGTCTATTCGGGCCGTTATTGAATCAATTTGAACTTGCATGATAAAGTGTTATCCACTTTTTCCATCTATATTTCTAATCCCCTTTTACATTCAGTGTCTGGTTTTATAAATCTTAAATCTTACTACTCATTATACGGGACCTAACCTACTGTCTTCTCTGCCAGTGTGAAATTTATATCACACAGGCGACTGCGAATTTCTCATACTGTAGCACCTCGGTCCCATTTGTTGTGGTTTGTACCAATATCCTACAAGAAATTTTATTTCTTGGTGATACATGACAGCAGGCAGAAAGGAAGTTTTTGTTCTTACTTCCGCAAAAATGCAGACCTTCTAGACCAAATTTTCTCAGACAGAATAATATCAAAAAGTGGCGGCTCTAAACAAGCTAAATGCATGGAGGGTAAAATGTGACAAATGTTGTCAGCATCATTAGTTTCCAAATTTTGAAGCTTCTATATGCTATTGGTTAACTTGTCATGCCCGAAACTGACTGATCAAAATGCAAAGCATGGTTTTCTGTACCATTTAACCAACTCAATGGCCTACTCCCAGGTGGCTTGTTAACTTAATTGGTAGAGCACTGCACCGTTATCGCAGGTGTCAACGATTCGAATCCTATACAATGGAAGCCTGAAATTTTTCAAGCTTTCGTTTCGCAACTACAAAGGTTTGCGTCTATACATTCTTTCATTTATTTAAATTCTTTCTTTAAATTGAAAAGAAAAAGAAAGTAATTATAATGACATTATTCGCCTAACCGAAGCTACCTATGTTGTTTATGGGCAAATTTTAAATCAAGTGCCACTGAATTTTCTGAAACAAGTCGGTCGACGCATTCAGTTTAATAGTTGGCTGAATGATAACATGTCAGTTACGAAACAAAGAACAAAAGAGTCTAAAGAAAGAAAAACAGGATAGAGGATCTGTAAGACATTCCACAGTACCACTTTAGAAAGTTCTTGAGCTGTACTTTAACCCGTAACTGAGAAAAAGGAGGAGAAGAATAAAGAAGGCCTGAATTGGAATGAGACAAACAAGCATACTTTTTACAAAGTACTCTAGATTGTCGGTTTTCAAAATGTGTTCTTAAGATGTTGTCCAACAGGATAAGCGGTTAGAAGAATAGAGGCCGCCCCGGGCTTATTGAATCATGTTCGGCTCATGCATTTATCCAGATAACCTTAACAAAAGACATTTACCTTGCTGGACGAAAAAATGGATTCTCACAAATTTGCTCTTGGCAAATATGTCGCAAAAATGTGAAAACTGAGGAGTAACTTTTGGGTAAAGACGGTAATGGCCACATTTGAATACCAAAAAACACAGGGTTGCAAATAAGAAGGTTAATGTGGCCGTTACCGTCTTTATCCCAGATTTGCTGCTCAGTTTCTACATTTTGCAACATACTCGCAAGGAGCTAATTTATGCAAATCCAGTTTGTCTGTCTGTCTCAGTCGTCTAAGTTAATTCTTCTTATTTGCGACGCTAGCTTTCAAGTTGGTCCGGCTCAGCGCAGGTTTTTCTTCATTACTGACCAATTGTTGTCATTTCCTTGAACATGCGCTTTTTACGTTTTTGTCTACGTTAGTATTTCCTAATTTTGGATTAAACTTAGCCAGGTGTTCTTTCTAAGGCCCCGTTTATTAGGAGAAAAGTTTCAGTCCCAGGAAGAAACGTCAGCCGGCGCCTAACCGAGCTAAGTTCAGCGAGCCGACTTTTCATATATACAAATCGTGGTGAACCGATTACATGAGAAACAAAAAGTCGGGGCGACTTAAAGAGTGGATCACCCTCCTAGCCGGACCATTTTTTCTCCATATACGACACTTTAAATTTGGCTCGCCTAGTCGGTTCGACTCGCACTCTCGACCACAGCGCGTACGGGTTTGGGAATGCGCGCGTAATCTCTCTCCGCGACATGCGCAGAAGAGCTTTGGGTCCAGATTGGTTCGACTAGGTGAAGGCGAGACAATCAGAGCATGCGCAAGCGCTGTTCTATTTGTTCTCCTTTAGTTAGAGCAACTAATTTCTTTCAGACAGAAACGGAAAACAAGCATATACTACAGTGTGTAAGCATAATGCATCTATCATGGTTTTTAAGCGATGCGTCCCAAGTTTTAGCTGACTCAGTTTTCCCTCCGACGCCCCGTCCATTTCAAGCTCGCTAAACCCAACAATTTTTGACAATTTTCATGTACTCATTATAATAACTGTAAGAAAGAGGCGGGAGGATAGAGATATCTATTATTACAAACGTTTCCGTTGAATTTTTTGATAGCACTTAATGTTGTTGACACTGTCGGCCCTTAATTACCAATGCTGCTGCCGAGCGACTTACAACAACTTAAATAAACTCATAAAAGTATCCCTCAATCAAACGAGCTGAAAAGTTAATCCCTCTGTAACTAGTACGATGAGACCTCGAAAACCTTTTATAGGCCGGTAAAGTGATATTTATTACCTATGCCCGGACAAAAAGCTCGAAATAGACACCGAGACACCGTGACTAACACGCGTCGAAGATTTTTAAGAGGCTAGAGTGGTCCTCATCTCTGTATCCGGTATAACGTTTGTGTAGAATGAACCACAAATAGAGACTCGAATTCGACGGCTTTAAACTAATCTATGTTACAAAGGAATGTTTTATTAACTTTTCATGAAAGCATTTCTAAGAGTAAATTTTGTGACAAAAATTACTAAAAACAAAAAACTGGGGATCTACAGCCTCGAACGGTGCTACCCTTTTGAAGGCCTTTCGATTGGCGATAGGATTAAGGCGCTTTCTTAAGCTTCCCTTTGTCCAACAGCTCGACTAGCGTCTCACAGGCGAGAGAAGGTCATTGGTCAGCTAAGAACTTCTGTTTTACTCAGCTGGTCTTTATTTATTTGTTTTAAAATCCCGACTGCAATCTTGAATGGAACGACTGAAACAAAAACAAGAAAAATAAATCAGTAGGAACAGACCCGATCGAATGCTTATTGGTCATGGGTTGCTTTATTGACAAGTTTGCTTGCCTTATCCGTTAGTCGTATCAAAAAAAACAATTCAAATTCGCCGTGTATTTGCATATTGGCATTAATGATGTCGGGAGACGTTCTCGAGAAAGTTAAGATCGATGGTATAATTCGTCAGTTCAACAATCACAAAACGAAACTGTAAATTTCGAATATTTCATCGTCACCGACACAGCCCCGACTTCGGCCAGTGCTCGATTTAAAAATGTCAAACCACGCTTGCGGCGTGGACATTATAGTATTTCTGTAGGACAGACCTCCGCTTAAGGTAAGGACAATTTTATTAGCATTACTTCAACCAAAACAAAACGGTTTGTTTTACTCTGCAATGTTCCCTGTAAGGGTGTTTGATGGTTTGTTGTGCATTATCATTGTTCGTTGTGGCTTCGATTCCAAACTGTCATTATAATGGGCGCGATACGGTGGTTTCCTTTAAACCGTAAGCGCGATAAAGCGGGAAAACGAAAAATTTAAAAGAGGTTGCAATTATTATACTTCTTCATGTGTAAAGAATACAAGTAGTGTTTTGAGGATCAAACGAGTAGGATACAGTCAAGAGAGCGCGCACGATAAATGATGGTTTGTTTTTATCACCATTTTCTGCCAATCTGACCCAGCAAGTATTTATCTTTTTTACGAGACTAACCGCCTCAAGTCCTTTTATTTGACACGCGTCGAGCTAAAAAATAATATGTGGCTTCGGAAAAAAGGTACGATTAATATACTGAATAATTCCTTAATTACCTCAGTCGCCTTTTGAGCCTCATAAAGCTCTATTTGTTAATTTTAAGATTTATCCGACGGACTGTAAATGGGCCTCTTGCAACGCTGACGAGGAGCCGAGTGAACTGATGATACATTTTAAAATATTCCTAGTAAAGAGAAAATCTCCTTGGAAAACATCAGTTCGCATATAGACATTTGAAATTTAAATGTGGTCGTCTTCAGAGT